AAATGAGCTGATAAGGGCTCAAGTAGAAAGAAAATGCTTTGAAAATGATGATGGCAACATATGTACAAATGTGCTTGGCCCCCTTCCGCCACAACTATGATTCCAATTCTACCTTTCAAATCCGCCTAGACCAGAGCCTGTACACTGGTGCAGATAGGAACTGGAAACAGGGAATCCAGGACAGATGATCCCTTCAGGACCAGTGCTGAGAGTGGCGATACCGGGAGGGTGGAGGGAAGGTGGGGTAGAAAGGGGGAAGCGATCACAAGGATCTGCATATAACCCCCTCCCTGGGGGATGGACAACAGAAAAAATGGGTGAAGGGAGACGTCAGACGGAATAAGACATGAAAAAAAAAAGTATAAATTATCAAGGTTTCGTGAGGGAGGTGGAATGAGGAGCTGATACCTGGGCTCAAGTAGAAAGCAAATGTTTTGAGAATGATGATGGCAACAAATGTACAAATGTGCTTGACACGATGGATGGATGTATGGATTGTAATGAGATGTAAAAGCCTCTAATGAAAGTATTTAATGATTAAAAAAAAAACATAAAGGAGGCTCAGCATATTTAAAACTGAAAGTACCCAACAAAAACCTTAAGCTTTGAGTTTCAGTATTAAAAGTCTATAGGCAAAATATTGAATAATGCAGGAAGTATTAAAAAATGGAAAAAAATAGAGAAAGTCACTATACCAAAAAGAACTGGTTGACACTCAGCCATTTCCAGAGGTAGTGTATGATCAAGAACCAATGATACGGAAGAAGTCCAAGCTGCACTGAAGGCATCAGTGGAAAACAAGGCTCCAGCAATTGAAATACCAGCTGAAATGTTTCAACAAGTTGTTTCTGGTGGGAAACATGAAGGATAACTACCTGGCCAACTGACTAGAAGAGATCCATAGTGGTACCCCCAAAAGGTGACCCCACAGAACAGTATCCATGATATCACATTCAAGGGAAATTTGGCTGATGATCCCTCAGCAACAGTTGCAGCAGTCCATTGATAGGAAGCTGCCAGAGATCCAGGCTGGAGTCCAAAGAGGACGTGGAACAAGGGCTAACAGCGCTGTCACGCGCATCTTGGCTGGAAGCAGAGAATACGGGAAGATGTGCACTTGTGTTGGAACATAACAACTATGAGGACAGCACAAGACCAGGTAGGTTGTGTTTCATTCTATTGTACCTCTGGTGGCTGAGCCAAAACCGACTCCACGGCACAGGGCACCAGCAGAACCACCACCACCACATCTCAGTAGTACTCCTGATCTTTTCTGCATCTAAGGAAAAAACACTGCGCAGTGCTGTAAACTCCAGCTAGCATTTGAGGCTATGTCTAATAACTCACAGGGAAGTAAGTCCCTGGGAGAAGTATCTTCACAATGACCCCATACTGCCTTACTATAAATAGTGCTTCAGAACTTGTAACTTTAGTCAGAGTAGAGAGTAAAGTACAGGAATCAGAAATCGGACATTTATTGAGAACTCAAACACATAGCTGGTAAGGGATTAAATATAAACAGTAGATTCCAACCCAGCCCAATATCTCTAAGGCTGCACGGTCAAGGGGAACCTCTGCAGAGAACACCTGGACAACAGAGGACCCTCAGCGCCTCCTCCGGTCTGGACTCCTGCTGCGTCTCCGGCCACCTCTAGGGAAAGAAATGGAGGGAGTCCGTCACAGGGACATCATACAAGACCCTGTGTGGTTCCACTCCCAGCCCTTCCCCAAGAGAGTCCCTCCCTCCCCTCCTCACCTCCTCTTGCTCTTGGGCGGACCCCGAACAAAACACCAGTCCACACTGATGGGCTGTCCCATCAAATCCTGGCCGTTGAGTCCCTCCATGGCAGCCTGGGCCTCCTTGTATGTTTCATACTCCACTAGAGTATACCCCTGGGGGCAGGGGTGAAAGACAGGCATCAAAACCCTATTTTACCAAAAATCATTACGCTGCTTCTTCATCAAATCTATGCTCAATTTAACTTAAAAAAAGCTCTACACATTCAATTTGCTGTTGGCCAAACACTTCATCAGACAGGGAAGAACTCCCCACTAAAGTTGTCTAAGTTACGGGAGAGGGAAAGCGATGGAATCCCACCTTCAGGTATCCTGTGCGCCTGTCCAGGTTGAGGTGGATGTTTTTAATCTCTCCGTACTCCGCAAATTTGTCGTGTATGTCTTCTTCAGTGGCTTCCTCGTGGACTCCGGTGACAAAGAGAATCCAGCCTTCAACAGCTGTGGGCGGGGCAGGAAGGCAGATGGAGAGCGTGTGAGCACACAGGGGAAACGACGCCTTCAAATCACACCGCCCTGGGAGCAGAGACTGCAGACTGCGGGGTTTTCAGGTGACCTCTGACCCCACCCGGACTCAGTTCTAGCTCATGGTCTCAACTGCCTAAGGGGGTGACAAAGTGGCCGCGCCGATGGGGTCCAATACAGCGAGCGCTGTGGGGGTGGCCCGGAGCCCAGCAGCACGGGGCTGCGATGGTGGGACCCCCGAGTCCACGCCCCACACCAGCCCCACAGGCTCGGGGCACTCACAGCGTTGCGGTCCAGGCTCATCGCCATCCTGCTCCACGCTGTCGTAATCTTCACGCATCCGTGCTCGGGACCCGTCTTCTACAAGGAACGCACGCACATCACCGGGGACTGCCCTCACCCCCGTCCCCTGGCTCCAGGAGGGCTCTCCGAACGCCTGGGCTCCGCCGCCCGACCACCCCACCCCTTCCCCGCAGACACTCACCGTAACCAAAGCCGCGGCCTTTCCGTTTCTTTGCTTTTTCTTTCAATTTGTGGATGCTCTCTGGAACCCCAGAAGGAAAGCGAGGGGTGACAAACAGCCATTGGAGCAACTAGACGTGCGCCCCACCGCCTCCTGTCCCACTGCAGTCTCCCAAGGGGGCGGCGTCTCTGCTCCGCCAGCAAGGAGACCGTTTCCCTATCGTACCCTTCCCTTGACTGCCCCCTGCTTCCGCAGCCGCCTCCACCGTCCTCACCGTCCCCATCTTCATCCATGGCGAAGTCTTCGCCCCCAGCCTCGTGAAGGTCCAGGACGTCCGCCATCCTGTCTGCGCGGTACCGCTCGTCTGAGCTGCTCTAGCTCTGCGGCCCCCGGGAACGGGCGAAGGGAAAGAGAGTCAACGACATGGACCAATCACAAACCAAGTCCCCTCCCGGCGCACAGAAATGACGCAGTAGGAGGCGGGGCCCCGGCGCGAAGACGTGGAAGTCAATTCGTAGCCAATTGGGGCAGGTCGTGGGGCGGGTTCCGCCGGCTGTAGCGCTTCCAATTGGGCGGTGGGCGGAGTCCGTGACTCCTCCTCCGCGAGCGTCAGGGAAGACCGTGTGCTGAGAAGCCGGCCTAGTTACCTTATTGGAGGATTGCTTCCCGGCGCTTCGCTTCCGAAGGTATGGAATGGAATATTCCCGGGGGTGTATTGTTCTGAGGTGCAGCTCTGTATCCGATCAAAACCAAAGTTCCATTGCCGTCGCGTCAGTTCTGACTCATAGTGACGCTCGCTGCACGATAAGTAGCACTGCCTGATGGGTTTCCGAGACTGTAAATCTTTTAAGAGCAGCCTTATCTTGCTCCCTCAGAAGGGCGGGTGGGCTTGAACCACCTCTTGCAATTAGCAGAGCAACGCTTACCCCATTTCACCGGCAGGGCACCTTAGAAGCAGGGGTTTGGGGGTTTGTTTTTTCCAAAAGAAACCTCACTCAGCAATGTTGATTTAGAAAGTTGTTTTGGTAGGAACTGCAGTATGGAAGATGTAGCTCTTTAGGAAATTCACAGCCCGGGTTGCTGTTGAAACGCCATTGTGACAATTTTTTTTTTTTTTTAACATTAAAATCGCTCCCAAACTCTCACCACTTCTGAGTAGGGGTCATGGCATGGAACAAAATCAGAACTCTTGCTTGCGTTGAGGATAATAAAGGTATTTCAACTCCGAAAATTCATTTTGCCCCTAAATGCTGTAATTATTCTATAAGCCTTCAGCATCCGTGGACTGTAGATTTACTAGCTTAGTTCATTAATCAAGTGTGTGGCTCAAATGAGAGAAGGGTCTGGCAATACAAAGACAAGTAATTACTTGATCAAGAATCCTATTAGCAGAATGAGCCTTCCGGGTTCTAATGGGAGTTAGCCTAAGGAAGACCCATGTGAAGAAGGGCTTTATATTTGAACAACAGCAGGTCGGCTGAGCAGTGTTCCAAGCAGAGTAGTCACCCATCCACTCTCCTCAGTAGGTAGAGTAATCCTTTTCAAAATCAGCTGCTACATGCCAGCTAACACCCCTCCCTTGACATTTTGTTGCATTGAGGAGTAACATTCAGACTGCTTTGCCTGTGTCTCCAACCTCTTCCCCAGTACCAATCATCCCCCAACGAGGGCTTAAAGACTTTGGAAGTTATTCATAGGCAAGCAGTTTCTCTACATCAAATATTTAAGTAGTCATGTGCAAATAGCCTTCACAGTTTCTGCTCATGTGCTCTTTCTCTGGTGCTTCATCTGCTAGATCCCATCATCATCTCTAGATCCCAAAACTACGGTCACCCCTAAAGGGTTTTATCCATCTTCCTATTCTCCAGCACAGAATTAAATCAAACTCTTTAGTCACCTAGTTCCTTTATAATTTGTTTAATGTCCGTTTTCCCCATTAGAATATAAGCCTCAGAGCAGACTCGGAGGTACAGCAATATCTCCAAAGTTTAACTCAGTACCTGGCTCATTATAAGCATTTGTTAATATTTGTTAAACGGATGAAGACCAACAGACCAGCAAAGAAGTCTGTAAGCCTGATGCAGTGTGAATGGGAAATAAAGCCAAACAATACAGCTTAGGGTCAAATTGTATGCAGTGCTAAAGATTTTGGAATTAATCTTGAAGGCATGAAATTCCTTTACTTCAAATATTTAAGTATTCATGATCTTTAATATGTCCAAGTAGTCTTTATGGAATAGCTTTTTTTTGCTATCTTTTACTTAGGATTGTTTCTTAAACAGATTTTTTTTTAACCCTGCCCTCCTCCCCACGTCCCCTGAAGGGGTGCTCTGGGTTCAGGGGTTAAACAGACTTTTAAAGTATAAACTTACATTAAAAAAAAATTTGCTATTGCTACCTTAAATGAAAAGGCACTATTTTTTCCCTACAATAAAAAAAGCAAAGTTATTTAAAAATTTTAATGTTTGTCCATGTACCATCTAAAATCATCTCTGATAAACAAAGATGCTCAGATAAACATTAGGAAACACTTCTGCAGGTGAAGGTGGCTAATTGATGGTTTAAACAAGGGAGTGGCAGTCAATGCTGTCGAAGGAAGTCTGAGAGTAGTGTAGAATGGAGGCAGGAGATCAGGTCGGAATCTAATACAGCGATTATAAGGACATGAACTACAAAAGGTAGAGTGATTGTCTAACAGTAGGGAAGGGAAAGTGAATCTGAGGTTTTTAGTTTACCGGATATAGTAGAGTATAAGCCAACCCGAGTATCAGCCAAGACACCTACTCTTACTACAAAAACTGCGTTAAAAATGTGCAAAAAACCCAGCTTATACACGAGTATATAGAGTAATTAGGTATCTAATGAGTCTAATGACAGATCTTGGAACCCTAGTAAGAGGGGTCCATGTGTAGAGAAGATGAGTATCGTATTGGTCATGTGAGTTTAAAAAGTTCTTTTGTTTCATTCACGCGATAATGCCCAATCAGAGGAAATGTAAATCTGAAAACAGGCTAGCACACAGAGACAGGTCAGAGGACAGTGTGTACAGTGGCCCTAGACCCATCATGTCGGTGGGAATGGGTCGAGCCACTGGAGAAGGGGCCAAGGACAGAACCCGGGCTCCGTATAGTTTTAGAAAAGGGAGGAGGGCTCGCAAGGCAGTCCCCTTTCCTAGCTGTACAGTCTTATTTCTGCTACCCCAAACAACTGATAAGAGAGTCTTTTTCAGTAGAGACGTAAGAGAAGAGGTCATTATTTTGTAACTCTTCTGACACTTTCAGTTTCAAGAAAAGAGTCAATCTGGCTCACTAGACAAAATTCTATCTTTAATTGTATAAAGTTATACATAGAAAATACATAGAAAATAGTGAAAAGATAAGAAAAACCTTGAATACCAAATAGGATCAGGGAACAGATTTTTCCTCCCCATGTTCTTTGGGATCTTACTGGTTGGTGTTTGAGAAGAGTAAATCCAGGAAGTCCAAGGAAAAATTCCTCCCACACATCATACCCCTTGATCCTTCTCATAGAAAGGACTAAGGAGGACTGAGGGGTTAATGGCTTTTGGATTAGGAATAGCAACTACAATAGACACAGCTACTACTTAATGCAGGTTAGGAGCCTCTACTCACCGCACACGTGCTTCATAGAGAAGGCCTGAAGAATTCAAGAAAACCCCTCTTAAACACTGATTCAACGATAGCCTACATTCCTTTATATTTGATCCTGTATTCCAAGCATCAAGGTGATTTCAAAAGCAAGAAGGAAAAAAAAAGGCTGTCTTTCATCTTGACCATATCTGATCCAATAGAGTAATTGTGACCTATTTCCTAATCTGTTTCTAAAAGTAAAGTCTGTATAATTGTTAGATGGAAAGTCCAACTGCAGGGCATTAAATTTCCCAAGCTCAATGTGGAAAATACACTCAGCACTATTGTCTAAAGGCAATCACAGAAACAAGAGGAACTCCACAGCCGAAAGAACATACAACTAGCAGACCACTGGTTCTCTTTCCTTTCTTTAGTCCTCCAAGGGCCCAGGTAGGAGATGCCATCGTACCTCAGTCTCATGTCCTTGCTCCTGCTGTGGAGGAAACAAAGGCGCCCCCTCCTCTAAGGAGCGCACACCCAGGGGAGTAAACGGCAATATCTGGGTGACGGAGAGGGACAGGACCCTTACCTAACAGGACAGATCATGTTTCCAAAAAGTCACATGGGAGGACAGAGGAGGCAGATCTAGGCTAAGCACATGGGGAGTGCAGGGGGAATGTTTCAACATAAACAACTTTAGTGCTGACCTCTCTCTGGAGTGTGGCGTGGACCTCGAAATCTGGGGCAGTGATACGTGGTATAGGTATGCTTGAGAGGTAGCCTGTAAGGTGCAAGCCCGTGAGTTTTGTTTGCAACTCCTCCTGTTCCTGGGCAGTTTCTCAGGCATAATTTAGAAACCAGAAACCAGACAACAACCAAAGCAAAACTACCTCAATGTCGACTCCTCGTGACCCTAATAGGACAGGGTAGAACTGCCCCATGTGAGTTTCCAAGACCCTTTGCCGAAGTGAAAAACCCCATCTTTCTCCAGAGGAGTGGCTGGTGGTTTCAAACCGTTGACCTTGAAGTTAGCAGCCCAATGTATATATAAGCCCTAAGCCAGGGCTCCTAGGCAAGCCTCAGTCATAAGGAAGCCTAAGAATCAAGTAGCACTTGAAGACAGGGGAGGAGCAGGGAAGTAGTGGTAGGGTTTAGGCTGGGAAAAGTCTAATTACTGCAGGAGCAACTTGGTACCAAGCCAAGCAGGACTTGCTCAAGGTAAAACAAAGCCAAAGGTGTCAGATTCATACCCTGTTTGAACCCAAAAGAAAGCAAGAATGAGGGAGAGTGAGGCCCACAGCCCTTATTCAGGAGACCTACCCTCTTAACCGCTGGCGATGTGAACAGTCAAGCCTAGCTATTGAAATGCTATGCAGCGCTCACCTGGGTGCGTGAGAGCCTGCAAAGCACCAAAGACATCCTTCTTGTAAATTGGGGAGTGGGGGTGTTTCAAACGAAACTACATCCCAAAGCTGGAAATAAGAGGTGGGATTTCTTAGCAAATAGGAATCCAGGTGTAGAATTTATACACACACGTGTATATATATATATCTATATTTGAAAGTATAAAATTGAAAAAGTATATACAGAAACCATCCTAAGTCTTAGAAAGGAGCCATCTAAAAAGGACCAGGAGAGGGTAGGTGTGTGGGCCCGTGGGTGCCTAGCAGTTGGGAGAATGCATGTTGCCCAGCTGCCCAGCAGCCAGCATGAGAATATCCTTCTTCTCCTTGTGGAAGCGCAGCTCCTTGCCTGCCAGCCGCGCTTCGTCCAGCTCTCGCTCAGTTGAGGCCAGCTCTCTCGACAGTGCCCCTGGCACACTCTGCTCCCGGCTCACCCAGTCCAGTGCCATTTGGTGGCGAATATCATCATCCAGGGCTCGGTGTGAATAGTGCGCCAACACCTCCTGGGGGTGGGGGGAGGCGGGAGAGAAAGTCACTGTTGAGGGTCACAGCACAGAGATCGATTGGACTGGACTGGACAGGGAACTCAGCCTCACGGTCCTAATGGAAAGCTGACTGATTCGTAAGGGGAACTTCCCGGTTCCGGTGGGGAAAGAAGGCCGGCGAGAGCGGCACGGCTCAGGTTGGAAAAGGGCAGATGACAGGAGTGGAATGACCCCCTCACCCATACAGTCTCCTTACCTGCCGGGAGCACTGTCTTTCCCTCATGGCCTTCAGGCTGCCATTCCAGTGCAGCAGTTGGAACACGGTCATTAGCTCCTGGGGGAAGAAGATAGCATCACCCAAGACAGGGATTTTCAAGTGTGAGGATGCACGAGACTTACAGGAGGGAGCCTTTTACAAAACCTATTTGCGAAAGTATTTCTCACTACCGACCAAGTCTGCCTGATACGCCCTTGGGAGAAGGAGCTCATTTCTGTTGTCAAAGATATTTGAAAACAACCATCTCTCCCTTCCTTCCCCTTTGAGTTTCAAGAAATTGAGGATGAGTAGGAGCCGTCAACTCATTTTCTGACTGAGATTCTACCAGACCTTCACTTTAAAATTGAGGAACTATGGAAAATACCTGGGTTTGTTTGTTTTTTTAAAAAACTCTCATTAAAATCCCCAAATAAGGAGACTTCCGGGAAGATGGCAACCGAGCAACACATGCCAGAGGGACTCTGCAGAAATCAGCCCAGGAGAGGTACTAAGAGGGAAATTCAACACTGCTGGATCTCTTAGGAGGAGCATCATAAAGATAAGTAGGCACAGATCTACAAGGTTCTGAGGGGCTAGGGGCTTTTGGCTTAACACAGTGGAGGCTGGCTAGGATTTGACCTCAGCCCTGCCACTGTCTGGGCTGGAGTCTGCCCAGGGGCTTAATCTCAACACAGCCACAGCTTGCTGCTGCCTGATTCGGGGCAGGAATTAAACCCTTGCAGCTCCTCTGGCAGGGATCTGGCTCAGCTATATTGTTACTTTTGTTTCCCTCGCTTCTCTCCCCCCACAGTCTCAGCAGGTTTACTTAAAAAAAAATTGTTTTATACTCTTTGCCCTGTTCTCACACTCCACTGCTGACTTCCAGACCTCTCCCCTTAGCCTAGGGCATTTACACCTGCCACATACCCAATTAGGTCAGCTCCACCCGGCCAACCTCTTATTTTCCCTCTGTTGTCCTGTATAACTGAGGGAACATCCTCCTGCCTACCTTAGTGCCTCACACAGCCTAAGGCATCTCGGCCAACACTCGCCAACCTGCCAAGCTACAACAGAAACCTCTGACCAATCTACCTGTCAAGGCAGTTCCACCCACCATTCGTGGTGTTCTACACCAAAGCAGGCAACCCACTAGCCTTCTGGGGCATTACCCTGAGAGGGAAGCCACAGGAGGATAAAGTGGTTGGCTAATTCCATAGTGAAATTAGCTGTAGGCAGTTAGAAGAAGCATTCCTACAAGTCTCCCAGAGAGAGCCAGTGCTCTTCGACTCCCTGGAAAATGGCACCTGGCTCCTCTAAAACAACGCAACACAAACAGCCATCAGCCCCAACGACCTCAACGAAAAAACAGAAGAAACAAAAGGTAATGGCAGAAGATGTTCCGAACATAACAACATACATAGAAGAAGCAGACATTGAGCTGCCACAGAAAGAAATTTTCAGAATGCTGCTTGGAGTCATACAGGATATGAGGGAAACAATACAGAAAAAGGATGAAATGATAGAGGAGATAAAGGCCATACACCAAAGGGAAATACAAGAGCTTAGGGAGGAGATAACAAAAACCAGTAGCAGATAATTACACAGCACTACAAAGGATTGTAATCCAATGAATTCAACAACTTGGATGACATGGACAAATTCTTGAGAAAACAATCCCTCCCTAGACTGTCCCCAAAGGACGTCAAGAATCCCAACAGACCCACAGCAATAGAAGAAATAGACAAGGTTATCAAGGGACTACCAACAAAAAAATCCCTGGACCAGATGGCTTCACTGGAGAATTCTACCAAGCATTTAGGGAAGAACTAACACCAATCCTACACAAACTCTTCCAGAGCATAGAAAAAGATGGCAAACTCCTGAACTCCTTCTATGA